TTGTCAGTTTGCCTGGAATTCAAGTTTAAAGCAGATTGAAGATTTGCAACAGAGTTGCTGCAAATATGGACACCAGGGATAGTAAGCATTATTTTTTCCCCAATAAGCAGGCTTTAATGGAGTTTGAGAGAGCGATGACGAGCTCCAGCCACTACATCAGTCAAACACCTGTCATGCCATTAGGTTCTGCTACCCTTGCAAATGCATGTTACCCTGACAGCTATAAGAGGCTTAAGGAAGCTTTTGGAGGAGTCTGGAGTTACTTATAGTGATGTTCTGAGATACTGAATGATGTTTGTGCCTGTCACACCTAATCCTTGCTCATACTAATCTCTCAATGCTGCCATGGCAACAGGCAAACGGCAAGTGGGTGCAAATGACTAGTCTAAGCCTTATACTTGATGGCCAAATAAACCTAAAACATTTATTATAGAAGAGCCAAGGACAGTGTCTAGCTTTACAGTAATATATCCTTCTACATTACAGACATGCTTTATAGTGGAACTCCAGGAAAATATCTTAATCCACAACTGCAGAACATAAATGGGTACAGTTTCCAGCCATTCTGGTGACCTGAATTTTCTCGCCTAGGTCTGTTGTTGGACATTTTAAGAGCAGCAGCAAGCTCAAGAGCTTTTTTCCTCCTCTCATCATGTTCCTTGTATATTTTAATGCAGCATATAATGCAGCATGCAGGTATTGGTTGCATTAAAAAAATATATTTAATGTTTTTTTTATTGACTACACAACTGTATTAATTGGTGGTGTTTTATATATGCCCGGGGTTCAGTTTTGAAGGAATACTATTATTTTATTTTACGTTTATATGTTTTTTAGCTATTGCTTTATATGCATCTCCAATGTACACTACTGTGCAAAAGTTTTCCTATGGCAGAGGACGTGACGCAGCGTTGTGACAGTGTTGACTCACCCAAACCGACGCATTTCATCACCAAACTACCTACAGGGACTTCTGCGCTCGATCTAAGAAAACTGGGCGGTTCTCCTTACAGCTGCTCACTTAAATTGGCTGCATGAGCCTGCATTAATATCATTCAAATATGTGAAGCGGCGCTATCACCCAACAAGTAAACAAATATGTGCAAAAACTAAATATTATAGTGAACAATACTATTGTGAGAGAAAAGAGAAAAAAAATATGCATATATAATATTTTTCAAATATTTTCCAAATTAAATCTAGTCAACTGTTTGTGTGAATCACAAGGTGGTAATCTAAAAAAACTCTAAATGACTAATAAAGTAGCAAACGTCCTGTGTCAGTGTGTAAAACGTGTCCATAAATTCATTTAAATATTTGAAGCTGTGAGGAAGAAGTTTTACCCTATAAGAAGCGCTTTGAGACCCAAGGGTCTGAACACGGAGGTGAGATGATTATTTATCAGAGCACTGGTGTTTTTTATGAGCACTTCAGCAAAAAATACAAAAGAAATTACAAGAGTGGGCAGAGTGACGCACAAAGAAAGTCTAAGACAACACTTTTTCTTTTTAGAGAGAGCTGCCTGCTTTGGATCTCAGTCCAGTTCAAGGCATCCCTGCGGCCGTTCCGCTGATATCGGGCCCTAGCCCACGGAACATATGACTCCCCTGGGTCTCACTCCCTGCCTGTAATAGCCCAGTTTCCATATAATCCCAAGCTACCCACACCTTCTTGTAAATATGTAGAGTATTATTCAGTCACGCCGTTAGGTGTTCCATCTCCTGCACCCGTTGGTAAAAGTCCACCTCAGACGGGGGGGCTTGGCGCTTCCAATGGAGGGCAATTAGGCAGCGAGCTGCCATCAAGATATGGGACACCAATTTCCGCCCGTACTTACGGAGGTGCAGGAACGGAAGTCCCAACAAGTAGTGGATGGGTTCTAACGGTAGCTTTGATTGCAACAGGTTCTCCAATGTAGTTTGGACCATCTTCCAGTACACCTGCAGTTGTGGGCAGGACCAGTATATATGATACAGAAAGCCTGTGTGACCATTCTCTGCATCAAGACTTATCAGCAGAGTCGGTTCCCTCCTTTGATTGGTAATCCCCTGCCTGTCTATTTTAGATGAAGCCCACCTGATCGTTATGTATAAGGGCTATCAAAGGTGCCAACTTCTAAGCAGCTACAACATTAGCAAAGGTAACAACACTGTAGTGATTTCACTGCAGATGGAAGGGTATTGTTACCCTATCAAGCTAAGTGCCTGTGATTCTAAAGGGCTGTGGATGGAGCTAGGCATGAGTATTCACCGACAGGGCTACCAAAGGTGCCAACATCTAAGCAGCTACAGCAGCAAGGGAGACAACACTGCAGTGATGTCACTGCAGAAGGAAGAGTGTTCTCACCCTATCAATGTAAGTGTGTATCCTGTGGTTCTAAAAGGCTGTGGGTGGAGCTAGGCATAGGTATTCACCAACAGGGCTATCAAAGGTTCTAACATCTAAGCAGCTACAGCAGCAGCAAGAGTGGAGTTAGCCATGGTTATTTACCAACAGGGCTATCAAAGGTGCCAAGTTCTAAGCAGCTACAACAGTAGCAAAGGTAACAACACTGTAGTTATTTCACTGTAGATGGAAGGGTATTGTTACCCTATTAAGCTAAGTGCCTGTGGTTCTAAAGGGCTGTGGGTGGAGCTAGGCATGAGTATTCACGGCAGACAGTTGGCGACTTCTGTGCACTGTAGCATGCGCTGACCCCGCTCTGTCATTTTACGTGGCCTACCACTTCGTGGCTGAGTTGCTGTTTTTCCCAGTCCCTTCCACTTTGTTATAATAACACTAACAGTTGACCGTGGAATATTTAGTACCAAGGACATTTCACAGATGGACTTTTTGCACAGGTGGCAACCTATCACGGTACCACGATTGAATTCACTGAGCTCCTGAGAGCGACCCATTCTTTCACAAATGTTTGTAAAAGAAGTCTGCGTGCCTAGGTGCTTGATGTTATGCAACTGTGGCCATGGAGGTGATTGGAACACCTGAATCCAATGATTTGGTGGGGTGTCCCAATACGTTCGGCAATATAATGTTTCAGGGTGTACTTACCGATATGGCAGCCTACTTCACATATGTGATTTTATAGTTTGACCGTAGTTCTAATTTAAATCCCATCTCCAGCCAATTTGTTCTAGATTTGGATACAGTGAGCAAAAGTTAAACATTCTGTCAGGATTTGATTTCTGTCTGATTTCCCCTTACTTCCTGTCCCTGTAGCACCTGAGAAGAAATGTGGGTGCGGACATCACCGGAACAAAAAACATTTCCAGACGTTTACTAAAAATACCTTATGCTCTGTGTCCTCACAATACCATCACCTGTGCTGACAGGAAGTGAGGGGACATCTCAATAGGGGCAGAGATGGCAAAGTAAACCTGACATAACTTCTAATTGTTCTCCATCACATCCAAAACAAAACAAAACATACTGGCTGGAGCTGGGCTTTAACTGTATGATAGAAATTACATTTCTGGATTCAGTCACTATACACAAGCAGAATCAAACTCTTTGTAAAGAAAACCAAAGGGCCATACACAGTGGATGATAATTTTTATTACAAAAACATTGGTGAATGTCCCATCCACAGATTCCATTCCTATTTTCTGTAATCATACTGAAGAGTCTGTGAAATAAAGAGGTATTGGATTGTGCTTCACTGGCAATTTTTAGTATGGTCAGATTTCAAAAATGTCTTAAAGTTGTAACATGTTCCATATCAGCAACAAATAAAACCATAGAATGACATGACACTTTTCTGCTCACCTCAATATCCCCATCTGGAATTACACATTCAATAATTATATATCCCCCAACTTTTGGTCCACTTGAGAATGATCTTAGGCTCTAATCTCACGGGGCATTCTGGGATTCCTGTGGCAGGAATCCCGGGTGTCCTGTTTAGATGCGGCTGCTTTATCCATTCAAGAAAAGGACAGGGGGACAGCGGCCGCATCTGTCAGCGGCAGTCTGCATGTGATGTGTGATTACATGCAGCTTGGGATAGATAATTGTTCCTGGACACAGAATAGATGCGTCCAGTGACCTATTTCAAACCTTATGTAATCTTACCATGTACATAACTTCAATGGGTATATCAGCCACATCTGAATGGGACACTCTGGAATTCTGCTGCAGGAATCTGTATGTTCCTGCTTCAGGAATCCCAGAACTCCCCGCGTGAACGGGGCATTAAAGAATACCCTTTGATGTGCGAGGAATCCAGTGAGCCGCTAGCTTCCTGTTTTAGCTGACAAATCTGCTTCTGCTGTACTGAACTCACACGCAGTGTGGTCAGCCCTGCCCGAGTTCTCCCACTGGACCACAGAATGCCTTCCCCTTATGCTATGAAGATGATGGGGGGGGGGGGGGGGGGTGGAGTCCAGCAGAGGAGAACTCAGGGCTGACCCTGTGACACTCAACTCAAACTGGAAGTTATGAGCTTTCTAGTAGACCAATACATACTTTTCTGTACCTGCAGCATTTTAAAGGAATAGCATTTGCAAGTATTGCTGAGATGTACTACATTTTTTTTGCCTATACATACCCTTTATGAGGGTACTCTAAAAACAGGTCCCTAGTTAATCACCACATAGGGCCCTTTAAGTCACTCGGCATGTATAGTAGCTGATATGTGCACATAAACATTGCCACACAGATCATTCTTCTTGTAACACTCACAAACAGTTGTCAATTAATCAGCAGCAGGTTTGTATGCAGGAAGCTAAAGAGTAGCGTCAACTGGATGATGAAGAAGTTGAAGATATAACCGTAGGTATTATGGAAAATTACTTTTTTTGTAAACACTTTTAACCCTGCTCCTCTACTCCATCTGCTATGAATCAAACTAAACGGATGTGAGGAGGATCTCAAATTGCATATCCTGAGCAATCTCATGGGTTTGGTTGAAAACCAGTCTTTGTGAGAATCATAAGACACAGATATTCAGCAATAAACATCTTCTGTGTCCGTATCAGTTTGTTGCTGCAACTTTTTTTTTCTAGCAACTGTAACCTGGCTTTTTATTTCCTGAAGGTAAAAACTTCAAGTGATTTGTGTCTCTTCTTGGTGTGTTTTTGAAGGCTGGGAGCCGGCTCTGCTACAGTGCCACCATATAGACAGTTGTTGGATTCTGGGTGTTGTCCTGTACATTCCACTGGTGGCATATAACCACTGTCCCACATGCCTGACCCACACAACTTGCACAAGTCATGTAGACTGCATGGAATTTTAGGCAAAAGGCGAAACTTGTAAAGCAAACTTCTTGCCTGCAAAGAGGAAGAAAAGGTAGAGGTCAGAAAAGAGAGGAAAACACCATGACAAGAAAAAAATATGTGTAATTAAGGCTGAAAAGAAGGGAGAATAAAGAAGAATACAGCCAAGGGGGAAGAATCCGGACAACAGAAGTTGAGGGATGCAAAGAACAAATGTTTTTTTGCTAAAAATTTTCAGACATGGGTCAAAGGAAAGGATAAAGTGATAACAAGTATTTGGGCGAGTACTCGTACTTGCCCAAATGCTACCAACACCGGAACCTCCGGTATCAGGAAGCCGGGCAGCGAGTCATTACATACCGCCCGGCTTCCTGATTGGCTGGGAAGCTGGCTCCATGATCCCTCGTCACTAAATTTAACTTAATTGAGGCTCTAAATTTAACTTAAGTGCATTTTCCACAAACCTTTTGGGTTTGATAATAAGTTGCGCTAATATTGTGCTAATATAAAGTGACAGAGAATGGTGCTGGAACTGTTAATGATATGAAAGTCCCTACTGTTGCCTATAACAACAGGGATGAAACATATATATTTAATCTGTGCATTTAGTTGTTTGTCTGGAGTTTAGCTTTTATAAAAATATTGTGGAAAAAGGTTGACAGATATCTGTGTGAACATATGGGAAAAATGTTTTTTTTTGCTTGTAGCGCAAACTGCAATATCGTGGGAGCCTTTGATAGAAACTTGCAAAGCTTTGACTTTTGACATCTCTTTCCTCCAGGCTTCTTTTTTTTTTTAAAATACAGATACTCCTCGCTTAATGACTTACCTGTTTTGCGACCACTCGCACTTACGACCGTCCTCCGAGCGACCTCGCGCGTCAGCGCCAGTGCGACGTGTCGCCGGGGGAAGTGACGTCCTCCGTTCTTCACAGCGCGTCCCCGTGAGTATTTTCATTGCCCGATGTACAGTACACTGTTCAGTACTGTACATCGGCAACGCTATACAGTACTGTACTAATGCTGTAAAGTACTGTATAGAGTTCCTCACTTAACGACCAATTCGTTTAACGACCTGGTCGTAGGAACGGAACTCGGTCGTTAAGTGAGGAATACCTGTATTCACATTTCTATCATACATATCTGTCTTTAGCTCACCCATAGGAAACATTTTACCACAGATTATGAAATAAGTCTTTTATAATATCTTAACCAAATCTATTTCTTCCTGACATTATTGTGTCCCATGATACCAAAATATACACACAGTTCTTCAAACTTACCTTTTTAAGAACCAGATCCCCATTCATATGCATGGCCAAGTTACTGAAATGTAGCAACATCTGGTCTGTTGGCAACTGCTGCTCAATGACACCATCTCCATACAGGACAATAATTGCAACGCAGAGGAAAAGGTGGAAATAATCTGTCTAAAGGATAAGGAACAGTGTCAAAAAAAGGAAAATGCAACATTTTCTTAATAAAGGCAGCAACACCCACAGACAAGACAGCAAGACATGTATGATTTCTATAATCAAACTTTATTTGGAAAAGACCTCCAAAAGTTGGTGAAAAGGAAAGGGTCCAACACAAGAGAAAACATGATTATTAAAGTGTATCTGAAAGCCAAACACACCATCTTAGTTTTGAATAGAGTGCTGAGGGATTAGGGAGATTCAACCTCTCTATATATTCTAGGGACAAATGTCAGCAAGAAGGAAGGACCAAAATTTGGAGTTGTCACTAGAAGAAAAAAAAAATAAGTGGGAGAAAAAAGTTGTAATGGGGACACTTTCTCTAGTGACAATTGTCTAAGAGGGCATTTTCTCTCTCTTTGTTGTGTCTACAAGATTGGGAATCTCCTCAATGGGAGATGGCAGAAAAAAAACCTGACAGGTGCTTTCGCTGCCAAGCCCTCCGGAAAGATGGTGCTACTAATTTTGTAGGTCCTGCGATAATTGCACAAATGTTTGTCAAATCAATTTTAAACCGATAAAAATACACCATAAAATTGATGAAAAGCACACTAAAATCAGTATCAGTGCACAAAAAAATACTTTTCTGACTAAATCTAAAAGATAAAACTGTATTGAGTTAATAAATATTGGTCAATTTTAAATTGCGCCTTTTTGCGAAACAGTAAACAAAAGAAGTAACGCAAAACTGTAAAAAGGTGACTTGTGTTAAAAATCGTTTGTGCACTATGCTGGTGATTGTGTTGTGATAAAAAGATACAGGCATAGATTTAATCACAACACAGCGTATCACAACGCACGGCAATGCATCACAACGCTTTGCCAAGTGCTGTTGCAGTTAAATTAATGTTATTTTGTGGGGGTGGGGGTCTCAGGGAAATATTAGGGGTCTAAACAGATCCCTGACTTTTCCTTTTTTGAAAAGAAAAAAAAATTGAGTCCTCAATCTCTTTTTCTGCAGCCTTTGTTCTAAATGAATGGAAAGCATTCAGTACAGAGGTTTCCCATTCACTGTAAGCAATAAGTTTAAACGGCTAAAAGTAAAACCCATGTGGCTCACATCCTATGTTAAAAAAAGCCATAAGGAATAAGAAAAGGGCATTTTAAAAAACATAAAATATAAAAATGAAGGCACACTGTTGTCATTTGAACGTTACAAAGAATATAACAAAATATGTAACAAAATCAAGACTGAAAAAATTCAAAATAAATGACAGGTTGCAAAAGAGACCAAGACAAAACCCCCAAAATGCATGAAATATATTAATAGTAAAAAGGTCAGAACTGAGCATGTAAGCCCTTTAAAGATAACTCAGAGTTGATGACTGGGGACAAAGAGAAGGCAAATCTATTAAATACTTTCTTCAGCTCTGTGTACTCCAAGGAACATGGTGGAACTCAAGGCTGTAATGGGGATGACAGTGCCACAAGCTCTAATGAACCACAACGGCTCAAAATGGATATGGTCCAGAAACAATTAAGGTGCCCATACCCTGTGCAAAATTGGCACGGTGTGCGCTGCTGTCGGCACCCTTTCGGTCAGCATTCCTCGATCAGCTGATTTAAGATACCGTCCGGAAAATCTTCATACAATCAGAGCTGGCAGCCAATAAGCCGCTGGCTCTGTTTGGGTATTCTGTCAGTGGCCACGGTATTCCTCGATCCACACGTTGGTAGTGTTGATGGAGGAATTGGCTCTCTTTTTTTTGTTCAGCCCGCGGGATGAATGAGAACAGTAGAGCAGTGTACGGCCAGTCTTAGACAAAATTAAAGTGAACAAAGCACCTAGACCAGATGACTTACTCTGTTATTTCATAGCCATTGCTTTTAATTTTAAAACACTCTTTAATGACTGGCTTGGTAACAATGGATTGGCGTAAGGCCAATGTGGTGCCTATATTTAAAAATGGATCAAAGTCTTCAGGCTAGATGCACATGAAAGTAATAAAATAACTGATCATATACCCGTTTTTGTTTTCTCACCGAAAAAAATCCCGGGGTAATGATCAGTAAAAATTCCTGCGTTTACACATGTATGTTTAAATGGGAAAAATTATTGTTTTCTCCTGCTCTGTTCTCAATGTAATTTTCCTGTTAGGACTCCATTTCCGCACTTATGTGAGTATATGCGTTGACAGGAATATACATTTGTATGTGCATAAAATGTATTTCCTCAAAAGCAATTTTTTTTGATTTTGTGTTACAGATCTAAATGCAGAGCATGTTTATGCACATGTGTACATTGCTTCATTGAAAACAATATACCTGTGTTCAGATTCATACAACAAAAACTATTTGCATTGCATTTTTTTACTGCCATGTGCATGAGGCCTTACAAGTAACTACAGGCATGTAAACTTAACTTCTATAGTCTGCAATATACTTTGAGAGTTTTGATAAAGGATCAAATGAATTTTCTTTTCTAGAAAACAATATTCTAAGTGATAGTTGACACAGTTTCACAAAAGACAGATGACACCAAGCAGACCTGAATGCACTGTTTGATTCGGTTTCATTTGTTTGATACTTTCTTGTATCAAAAGGGGTAAAGACTTCAGAGAGACATAATCTGCCCCTGTACAAAGCATTAGTAAGACCTCATCTGGAATAGTTTAATTTTGGGCACCAGTTCACAAAAAGGATGTTGAGGAACTGGAGCGAGTACAGAGAAGGACAACTAAACTTATAAGGCCTTGTTCACACCAAGCGCGTTCCAGGAGCAGAGCAGTTACAGACCGGATCAAAACTGCGTCCAATGTATTCCAATGGTATTGTGGGTTCTAGTTCACACTGCAGCGTTCAGTTCCAGAGCATGTAAAAAAACTGCAGCAAGCCCTATTTTATCTGCTCTGGAACGCATGCAAACACCCTGGAACGCACTGAAAGCCCATTATAAACTAAAAAAAAGGCCCAGAACGCATAAAAAACGTGGCAAAACCCACTGCACTGTGTGTGCAGAAACTCATGCAGATCTGGTCTGCATTTGGTGTGAACCAGCCCTAAAGGTGGCCATACACTCTACAACCATCGCAAGACTTTAGTCTTGCGATGGTTGTACAGGGATTAAATAAACGTACGATCTGCCTATCTTGGACAGGCAGATCGCCCTCTCGATCATCGCAAGCCCGCCCCCCTGATATCATCATGTACATATACATAAATGGTCCATATAGTGGACTTGATAGAAAGTTATTCACTTTAAGGTCATTACAAAGAAGAAGAAAACACTCTTTGCATCTGGAGGAAAAGAGGTTTAATCTTCGCATAAAGAAATACTTTTTCACAAGAGCTGTGAAAATGTAGTATAGGCTAGCTCCACTATATATTTTACAAATCTGGATGCATTTCTGAATGTGCTATTAACCTTTTATAGGTAATAACACTAGAAATTGTTGATCTAGAGAATATCCGATTGCCTTATGTGATCAGGAAGGATATTTTCCCTCGTTAAAGCAAATTTAAGGCAAATTTTTTGCCTTCCTCTGGATCAACTGTGAGTAACTGTGGGTATAGGGTTTTGTTTTTAGAGTTTTTCTGTTTATTCTTTTTTTCTCTTCTGTTGGTTGAACATCATGGACGTGTTTTTATTCAATCTAACATGGACGTGTTTTTATTCAATCTAACTATGTAACAAACAGTGCAAAAGGATGGAAAGCTCTGGAACAAGCCAGCACTGGCAGCTTCCATATTTCTCTTTTTATGGATTCTTTTAAAAGCCAGATGATCTTTCTGGATAATCCAGGATCACACTGGTGCTCTCCAGATGGGGCAGGGTGGAGTAGTCCGGATCAGAGGTAGTTAAGATACCAGGTGAAGCACCGTTCTTAGCATCGTTTGAGGATTTGGCAATAGCAAAGCTGGCTCCTGCAAAGGAGGAGACTAACAGGATCTGCAGAGGATGTAGAAAATATATCCTTTATTACTGAATAACTATGCACCACCATAATTCGAGAAGGAATTAACTTCTCTTCATCAGGGTCAAAGAATATGTTGAATACAGAGGTTTTAATTTATAAGCAAAACGTAATTAAAATAATTACACTTCCAGGAGAAGTAATTTACATAAAAGAAGTGTGTGTGCATATGATGCAATTAGAAAATATTAATAAAGCATAAAAACAAGGGGATATTAACCTGCAGCACATATTATCAGCTCTACAATAAAAACTAAATTAGTGACAGTACAGACATGTTACAATAACATCAGAGACATTTTGTGGTGTAATTGTTTAACAAAAAGAAATGTAAAGGTGAAACATCATAAAACAGTAATTTTGTATAAATGAGAGCTGTGCATCCACATGTTGGGTTGGATGATATCTGTAGCAATAGTACTGAGGGCTGTGTGTTATATAGAATGACTGATCAAAACATATTTACTGATTATCTGTCTTATAAGGGAACGCAAAGAGGAGAATTTATCAAAACAGTAGCAGACAGAATCTGGAGCAGTTGCCCATGGCAACCAATTAGCTTCTCTCTTCAGTTTGTTGAGTTAAGCTTGGAAAATAACAGATAGAAGATTATTGGTTGCCATGGACAACTGCTCCAGATTCTGTCTACTCCAGTTTTGATAAATTCCCCTCACATAGTCTGTGCAAATGAAGTCAGATGAAAAACACTTTTTAAAAGTTTAAATACAAGTTGGCAACATGGCTGTCAGAAGTAAAGGAAAATCAATCCATTGTCCTCTTACTGGACTACTCGACCCATCAACACATTCTTAAAGTGGACTTTAAAGTGGAAAATTGGTTCATATGAAGAGTGACCCTTTTTATTCTTATATTATTTATATTCAGAAACTACTGGTGAGTGTTTTGGTTGTTGCTACATTGAATGCCCAGTGCCATTAATAAACTAACTGGTGAGATGAAGTAGAATAATGGAGAGCTGGACCCTGGTGTGGTCATATGGACAGTTCTTTTTGAGGCAGTTCCCAAGTGCACAATTGGCACTGATACACCCTCAGGGTAACGTCTCTAGGTTTGTAGAAAAAGAAAGCCCCATAATATGGTTACCAGTTCAGAAAGGTTGTCAGTCACAGTAATCATGTAAAAACAGCCAAAACATTTCAGGAGTCCAAAGGGCACCCTTCATCAGGACTTAAAGGAGAACTATGGGGTAAGTGTTTTTCCCCATAGTTCTCCTCAGGGTCACGGGAGGACATAAACTAGCGTCCTCCCGTTACCCAAAGCTCAGTATGCATGCAAAAAAAACCTGTCAAACCACTAAGGTTAAAAGCAGAGGTTTCAATACACACTCAGTATACCGCGAGCTGTACTGAGACTGCCGCAGCCAGGACGGATCCCGACATTACTGTCAAGATCCAGCCAGTTGCGTGATTGACAGCTGGCTCTGCCTATCTAGAGGCAGAGCCAGCTGTAACCGCCCCCTCCCCCGTTTGTTCCTCCAGTCAGCGCTGGAGGATCGGAGCGGGGAGGGGGATCCCTGCAGGGAGCCGTGAGTGACAGTCACAGCTCTCTGCAGGGACAGGATCAAGAAGTGAGCGAGCAACGGTATCTGTTCGCTCACTTCCCGATCTATTGAGCTGACGTGTGACAGTTTCATTGTCACATGTCGGCTCGAACTATGAGGTTGAGTGAAAATCACTCACCTCATAGTTCTCCTTTAATGATGCTGGATGGAATACAATTTTTTGTTAGGAACTCTGGGGTTAAAATTTGATAACAGCACAATGTCTGCTCCGCTCGACAGTTTAGCAGCCTGTATAAACTAAAAGAGTATCTAAACCTAACAAATATATTGCAGTGTACCAATCCTTAGATGTTGTGGCTGCATTCGTTTTCTTTTTTCACCTGGTGATACTGCCAATAACACACTTCCTGTCCTAGGGTAACAATGCTCACTAACTGTACTCTACCTGTAGAGGGGTAACATTGTCATCCTAGAACAGGAAGTGTATTAGCACTGCCGAAAACCCTATCCTCTCCTCTTCATAAATGGGGAAGGAGTTCTGCAGCCTTAACACATTTACTGATAACAAACCAACTGATATTATTTTGCACTACTCGAACAGATATAACAAAATGCTTTGAAAGGTATATTTATTAGACCAAAAGGGAGCAAATATGTAAGTTCTGTTTAAAATTAACTCCGTTACAAAAACTAGAGGCCATCACCTATAATTGTTTGAAAACAAATTCCAGCACAAGGGGCGAAGGGGGTTCTTCACAGTAAGATCAGTTAGGGTCTGGAACTCACTGCCACAGGCGGTGATTTCAGCAAATAATGGAATTGTTCAAGAAACTTTTGGACGATTTCTTAAGGGACCGTAATATACAGGGGTACGGGTACTCCTAGAATGAGATCCTAATAGGTTGGACTTGATGGACTAATGTCTTTATTCAACCTCAAATACTATGTAACTATGTAACTAAATAGGAGAAGGTAATTGGTACATACATTTTACTGAAGTATTGTAAATCAATACATACATTTTAAGGAAGTATTTTAACACAAGATCCCCCAAACTGAATAGTCTCATTCTCAAAAGAAACTATAGATGCCGACAACTAAGGCCTGCTTAGAAGACATCATCACTAGAAATAAACAGGTATGTATTATTAATTCCTCACTTATACACAGCATTCTATGACCACTTCCAAAAATCCATAAATTGTTCCTGCAAAAGCACCAATGTTATATAGTTTTGTTAGCTATAAAGTCTTATGGTGACACGAAACTCAGGAGTTAAATTTTAAAAATGCATTCAAGCACTTTAACTATTAACAAAAATGTATCCTCTTTGTATATCAGTCAGCTGTAGATCCTCAAATTATCTCTGAATTCATGCTGACACTGTCCTTCCTTCTGGAGGGTGGCTACTTATGCTCCCCATGGTCCCTATGTGTGTTGTTAAGTAGCCGCCGCTGCAAGGTCGCTCCTAATGATGGACTTCAATCTCACGTCTAGTTTACGAATTTGTATTGAGATTGTAGTTTATCACGGGAGCAAGCTTGAATCGGTGGCTACTTTACATCACACACTGGAACCATGGAGAACAAAAGTAGCCACCCTCCAGAAGGAAGGACAGTGTCAACAGCAATTCAGAGATGATTTGACGATCTACAGAGTGATACACAAATAAGATACATTTCTGTTTATAGTTAAATTGACATTAAAGTCAGAATTTTTTTTCCCCCTTCCCAATCCTGCTGTAGGAACTTACCTTAAATCATGCCTCTTTATTCGATCATCTTCTTCTTTACTGTACTTTTCAGCTGTCCCTCCAGCGCTGACTCCTCTGTCCTCCTCTTCTCTGATGTCCCATGGAGTCTGTGCGGGTGCACGCTGCTCCATAGACTTACCGTGTGTCTGTCCTCGTCTCCCGGCCGTACATCTGAAGTGTGAATGCGCCTGCCCCAAGATCCTTTGCGGCCGCCCGAGACTCTTCAGATGATCGAACGGGAGCGCGCGGCGAAGACACAGGTAAGTTTAAACCCTTTTAAAAAAAAAATATTTTGCATATATCTACTGCTTGCTAGCAGTAGATATATGCAAACACCGCTGAGGGTGAAACCCTTTAAGGTACTTGCATAGTTACATAGTTACATAGTTAGTCAGGTTGAAAAAAGACACAAGTCCATCGAGTCCAACCTATAGAGGAAAAAAAAATGCATTTTTAAAATTTAACTCCTGAGTTTAGTGTCACTTAAAATGACAAGGTCATAAGCAGAATAAGCAGACATGAGCCATGTACACACAGCTGTTGTTGACAATGACTAAAGTCCAATAACTAAGTCATTGCAGCTGTTAAAGGCCCAACAACATGTGAGAAAGTTCTTTGCCCGTTCAATTTGGCAAACAACGCCTGGTCAAGTTATACCAAAACAAAATAGCCAATAACATTTTAGCTAATGACAAACATGGAAACAAAATCCACATTTAACAGGCAATGGTACCTGATAATGAGCCCAGCATGCTTCCCACATCCTGAGGGCCTCAGAGTCTGGAAATTCTCTCTTGAAGCAAAGCAGCATCCATCGGTGACAGAACAGCATCTGGAGACCATCTTCTCCAAGAGACAGCAAATGTTGGTAAAAACAAGGATAAACAAGACGCAGTAACTCACGAAGATACATCTGAAAAAAGTATACATTATTCTTACAAAATGTAGAGTAGCTAGAAAAGATACACACAGTTCATTGTGTATTAATTGAGCTAGATTACAATTTACCACTAATGGTGCCCTTGTTTGGTCTGGGTAGTACATGGCAGGGCTTATCATCTAATGGGAAGACCAGTTGTAACCATAGCAAAGGAGGCTCCCAGTCCATGTGTAAAATCACAGCACTACTTCTAACCCCTGACAGCTGTCAACAGAGTAAGCACTTTCTCTATGGTATGATATTCTCACTCAAGTGTCAGCAAGTGCCAGGTACCAGATGAAGCATGCTGATTTTATTGACAGATATATCTTGCTGCCCGGGCTCTGGTGGCTGCTGTGAGGTGAGTTATGTCTGAATAAGACGTTGTATCTCCCTAAAGGGTTTCTTAGCAGAGAAAAGACTTTAAACCATGGACAGGAGAGGTCTATGTAGTGTGTTCAGGCACATCTAAAAAAATATATATAATACAGCTATCACAGTGTAAGTGTATTCTGAAAAATTCTCTGTGAATGGTGAACTGGGGAATAATGTAGGGAATGTGCAGGCTCCTTTTGGTGTCTGCACCAAGGAGCTTATGTTAACTTAGACTAATGCCAGGTTCACAAAAAATGTAAGGCCCCTTTCACATGAGCGGTCCGATCGGGTCCGTCTGCCAGTTTTTCAGCCAAACCTGATCGAATTCTCTATGCAAGTCTATGGGCAGCCATAGGTAAATGGATGAGCCTCCGTGTACACCTGATTAGCCCCGGATCTTTCCCTACTGGGGGTAATCGGATGTAAATGGACACATGTCCATTTACATCAGATTCCCCATAGACACACATGGGGTCTGACAGTTTCAGAGGAAAACACTGTACGGACACGGACAGTGGTGACATCCGCTCTGTACTGCTGTGATTAGGAGAGGATCTGTTGATGGATTCTCTCCTGACACGCTTGTCTGAAAGGGGCCTTATATTTCAATAACAAAGCTAATTTAAAACATAACAGGGGGTGTGGATTTTAATTGCAGGAGCATGCCAGTTCTTCCATAATGGGCATCACATATCTTGTGCCTATTTTGTTTTTGAACATGTTGTGAGCTATAAAATTTGTATGACAAATGGCTGTCAATCAATACATTGGTGTCAACATATCCACCCCTGACAGCTTATAAAGTCACCTGCAAAGCCTGCAGTCTCCTTACTGATAAAGTAAACACACATCTGCACTCCCCACCAAGTGTCTCAGACGGATGATGGTATACCAGCATAACTCAATCGCACCGGACTGAGAGAACTAACATATTCCCTACCTGGACTGTTGGTACCCATACCTGTGTCAATAGTTTCCTTCCCATTCTGATGCCAAGAAAATCCCTCTAGATATATGACTGCACACACCTTAGCTGATGTGTAACCAACATGAAAACAATACAACTGAAAACCATGCCAAGGAACATCAACCATCCCTATCCTTATTCATTTGAACCCCAAACCACAGAATAACCTAAACCCCTACTCCCACACCTTACACCCAAACTCGTGTAGCCTCCCTCAAGTGATGCTCCTAGTCCATGAAAATAGAAACTCTGCTGTTATAAATCTAATAATAATGTTTTTAACACAAGATTTAAGAAAACTGTACTGGACATGGTAAAACTTTTATTGACCTGTACACCTCAAACTCTGAGTAATGCACATGCCCCACATGTCCTCATTCTTTGGTTGAAACACAATCTTTTCAACTAATCCCCAGGACACCATTTCAGACTGATGCAGATACACCACCAAACGTGGATCTTTTTTTTATTACTTACTAGCATATTCACATAGAAGTATACAAAGGTATACATGAAAAGCCTATAGTTCTCCACTGATTAATCACTTGTGCATTTTAGTATTGTATTGCTCCATTCTACATTTAAAGCAATTAAACAAGAATGTTTGTTCCTTTACAAGAAAATGGAGACTTTGTTCATATGCGGACAGTGACCAAAAAAGTGGATTACTCCTGCTCAAAATAGCCACCTGCAAAATCATATGTAGAGTCAACTTATCTACATATTGAGGAATTGGTGTAATTTTGTTAATGGGAACATTAAATTATAAATAGTTTGTATTTATATTTTTTCAGAAAGTGCTGTGGTATGGCTGCATTTACCATAAAGGCACTCAAGGAGTAGTGCCCAGGGCAACATGATTAGAAGTGCAACACCAAGCCTCAAAAGCTACACACTGTAAAAACATGTTTCCTATCATTTGTTACCCCTGACTACTGGTAGCTAATTTGAGCAAATTATCAATAGTAGGAAGTGTATGCAGGGATGTTAGGAGACTCACTGTAGCTCCAGAAACCCTCTCTCTTTTCTCTGATTTCAGCTAAAAAGGTAGCAGTTGACAAAACTCCCCATGCTGCCTAAAATAGCACACTCTAACACAATTTTTTTCCTAAAATAACTGCATGATACAAAATGCAGAGCTTGTAGTAAAGGGTGTCAAGGGTGTAAGTTTAAATACAAATTTAGACATAAATATGCATTTCTGGGTGAAAGTGGTGTTAGTGGACAACGTCCACAGGTTTTTTTCATTCTATTATAACAGCAATATTTTATATGTGCAGAGTCAACGTATTCTTCAATACTGTAAGGGACAATCTGTATATACCAAAATACAAAAAAAATACTGGGACACTTCTATAATCTAAAACTTATTCAATAACTTAGAGGGATAACATTTTCATTAAAGCATTATAGATTACTCACTAACTGCTTTTCCATGTCCTCGTCACAGGGCGAGCTGATAAAAATTGTGTTCTGCATAAGGCCTACAAAACACCAGAAGGTGTCAGACTCATCCAGGATCTCTGCCAACAGTGGTGCCACCAGATCTGACATTCCTTGAGAGTAACCAACTCCAGGGCAGTACACGGCATAGTTCAACAGGATCCTCCTAGGGTAGAGAAAAACATCAGCACTGAGTATACACAGAAAAAAGGATTCAAATACAAACAAATACATTACAAAACTAAACCCCCTGATTTAACCGTTTCCCAAAACGGTTGCATTTAAAGCATGCCTTTGGTGAGAACTGTCACAGTTGTCAGTGTGCTTATGTCAGCTCTCAACTAAACTTTCAAGCCATCAACTGGCTAATGTCATAAGTGATCACATGTGCAGCACCATGGCAACCTCCGATCTAAATAGCCTAAAATGGCACCATCTGTAAAGGATAGAAGAGTTTAGTTCTGCTTTAATTCCCTGCATAAACAAGAATGTCTTTATTTGTACAAAGTCCTGCAAAAAGATTTTTAGAGTGGTAAGGAAAACTATACTTTTCCCAACCTAAGCCTGAAAGCCCCCATATCCTTTCCAATGCTACCAATACTGTCTCTTCTCAGGTCAACAGGGAACCCAGTGCAGAAGCCAAAGTCTAGAGAAACTTATTGACATGAGAAAGAGGGACACTTTCAAACACTTTGAGGGGAGTTTATCAAAACTGGAGCAGACAAAATCTGGAGCAGCTGCGCATGGTAAGCTTCTGTCTTTCATTTTCAAATCTTAACAAACTAAAAAGAGAAGCTGATTGAACTTGATTAGTAGGCCGATGTAGTTACTTCCTGCCTTAATCATCTTCTGTGACACTGTTTTTGGAGGAACTTCCCTGGTATAAATGGTGTTGCCATCGGCACTTTGGGCTTTATTCTCCCATATGTCTGTAACTCTGGGATGTATGACTATCCTTTTGGGATGGGTGGTGACCAGGATGCATCATTCTCATTATCTTTTTGTTTTCCATTTATTTGCCTTGGGTGCTTAGTATGGCACATGGCTCTCTGGGAGGGGGGTGGGGTTTGTTTTGTTTTTTACTCGTTTTGGTAAATTTTTATGATGTTTGCAACTATGCCATTGTTTTCTATTTTTTGAATTGTTAAAAATTAATAAAACATATTTTCAAAAAAAGAACAAGTGCAATATTGGACATAGCATATGACACTGTTCTTGGTTCTCCGAAAAATGTAAGTTTTAGAAGTGTCCTATTACCTAATTGTTGTTTGCCTATAACTATGGCAACACAATAGGGTAGCTACAGAGGGATGATGGTTCAACTGTCCGTAAAGTGCATCTAAACCCAAAAACAAAATGTATTCTATTGCAGCTTACCAGTCCCTGTAGATGTGGTGACTGCATTTTTAATTTTATTTTTGCTGGGGTTTTACCCTTTATTTTTACATAGTATTACATAGTATTTGGGGTTGAATAAAGACATACGTCCATCAAGTCCAACCCATATAGGTCCACGCATCATCTCATTCTTAGGAATACTTGTATCCCTGAATATTACGGTCCCTTAGGAAATCGTCCAAATGTTTCTTGAACAATTACACACACTTAGCTGAAATCACTGCCGGTGGCAGTGAGTTCCAGACCCTAACCGCTCTTACTGTGAAGAACCACCTTCGCCCTTTGTGCTTGAATTTTTTTTCCACCAACTTTAGGTGGTGGCCTCTAGTCTTTGTAATGGAGTTAATCTTAAAGACTTTGTTGCCAATGTTGCTGTCACCATTGAACATCTTGTACATGAAAATCATATCCCCCCTTAATCTCCTTACTTCCAGCGTGAACATGTTTAAGTTCAGTAGCCTTGTCTCATAGCTCTGGTCCTCCATTCCCCTAATTAGTTTGGTTGCCCTCCGCTGGACTCTCTCCAGTTCAAGGACTTCCATTCTCAGTACCGGCGACCAAAACTGGCAAAACTGCAAAAAACGCACTTTCTGTCCAATGGGTTGGACTTGATGGACGTGTGTCTTTATTCAACCCCAAATACTATGTAACTATGTAACTATGTCCCTGGGTGGCTCCAGTCACTCCTCCAGTGTATGAATGGAGGGAGCCATGGTTGTTTAACTAGGCTGCTCTCCTGATTTGGGCTACAAACACATCTTCCTTTCTTCATCTCTGTTATATGAGGGGGTGGGGGAGTTTGAAGATTACAGAAGATAGCTCAGAAGGAAGCTGACATTGCTTGATATATCAGTTCAATTCACAGGAAGTGACAGGGACACTGCATTTCTAGCAAGATCAACAGGTATTTTCTGTACTCACCCAAAATCTTCTTAAAACATGTAAACGAATCATGCCACCACATCTAAGGATTGGCAAGCTACACTACATTACATTTTTGTTCTTGGGTTTAGGTTTCCTTCAGAAAACATCACTGTAATGAACACCAAACACTTATACAAGCTAATCTACCTAATTATAAGAGTCACAAAGCAGTAGAGCTTAACGGTGACAGACAGAGCTTAAATCACTATTCCATTTAAAGGAACAGGATTAGAAAGCAACCAGTACAGCATTAACTATTGACTCACCACTACACAGATACATTTAAAGCTGAACACCATGCCAGAATAAAAAATGTTGCTTCTTTCCCCATACAATGTATGGGAATGCAACAGCAGCTTCAAGTGGGTCAAATTCAAATCAGTCAAGTGCAGATAAAATGCACCTACCAAAAAATTCTGAATGATCTCAGAAGCATCTCAAAGTGATGTCACACTGCATTTGCCCACTGAATTATATCATCACAGGCCCTAAATATCTGAATGTTATCTGTGCTTTCACCCTAAAAATGACCATATAATTGCATTGTACACTATCCTTTAGATCTACCAACATATATGTAGTACTAGTGCCTGCCTGACTTGATATAAATTAATAGGATAGTTTAGGTAGGCCCACATATTACATAGTTTTGGTAGATCTAAATTTGATTGTACAGGGATTGTGACTGTACGGTAACCCAAAGGGAGAGCACATGACTACATCAGCTTGGTGCTGCTTGTCCAGTCTGCAGGCGGCTTATGGGGAAGTCACTAAGAAAGCATAACGTCAGCAGCCATTTTTTTCTACAGTCACCAATCAGATGGGTGAGTACCATTACCACAATTGACTGGGCACTATGCATAGACTATACTTGCATGTATCACATTAAGTAGAACATACATGTGGGTAAACCACATTTTCCCTGAAGCATGCAGACAAAGTAAGCACTACTTACAGGAGCAGTGTTAAAGAACGCTCCAAACATTGTGAGCTGCCAATCAGCCCAAAGGTACAGTGGTGCCTCGGTTCACGAACTTAATTCGTTCCACGATTCTGGTCGAGAACCAAATCAAATTTCCCCATAAGGTTCAATGTAAATAAATTAATCCGTTCTGACCCTTACGAACATGGTCGCGAACTGAATCGAATTTTCCCATAAGATTCAATGTATATAAGGTTAATCCGTTCTGAACCATATGTAATTTTTTTGAGCCATGCTGAATTGAATAATACTGTACAGTACTGTATGTGCTATAAAGCACACAAAAAAGCTTCACATCAAGTTTGCACAGGTCTGTCTGCGACCGCGATCTCGACTAGCGGAAGCCACGCCCACGTGTCAGAGCGGGGAAGATGGCCGCGGTCGTTTCATCACCCAAATTGGATTTTGCAAACGGAAGCATTTTGCTGAACTTCCTGTTTGCGAACCGATCAGGAATTTTTTTAATGATATATAAAGTGTATGTTTGTGTGTATATATATATATATATACATACATACATACATACATACACACACACACACACACACACACACAGTGGTACCTCTGTTCACGAACACTTCTGTTTGTGAACAATTCGGTTCGCAAACAGGAAGCTCGGCAAATTTTTGCTTCCGTTCGCGAACTCCGCTTCGGGTGACGAACACATTCGCAGCCATCTTCCCTGCTCTGACATATGGTCGTGGCTTCCTCTAGTCAAGATCGTGGTCTGATCACAGTTAGATTCGGTTCATGACCCAATCGGTTCACTAACCATTACTGCAAAGGAAGGTGCCATGTTCGATCCTGCCACGGCTCTCTGCCGTGACAGGGGAGGGGCTGGATTCCCCCCTTCGATCCGCTAGCGCTGACTGGCGGAACGGACGGGGTAGGGGGCGGTTACAGCTGGCTCTGCCTCTAGATAGGCAGAGCCAGCTGTCAGTCACGCATTTGGGCGGATCCCGGCATAAGTGTCAGGATGCGCTTCAGCTGCGGCGTCTCAGTATACCGCGAGCTACAGCTCGCGGTATACTGAGCCTAGGGTGACGGGAGGACGGTAGTTTGTGTCCTCCCGTTACCTTAAGGAGAACTATGGGGAAAAGCATTAACCCCATAGTTCTCCTTTAATGGCATTGCCATGATAATGCACCAATGTAATCAGCCATGACACATGCCATTTAAGGGCTTCTGGAGTTCAGTTGACAGCTGAAAAAAGCACACTGGCAACCTGGACAGTTATTACCAGAGGCATGTCTTGAAAGTAACTGTTTTGGTAGACAGGTAAATTGGTGGGTCTAGTTCCGCTTTAAGAGGACTTAGGGAGACAAAGGGCCAGGGACTGTATTTATGCCCTATACATTTTATGGACCAATGTTGCTTAACATGTGTTTGCAAATGTATGTATATTAAGAAAAGAGCCACACTTTTCAGGCACCCACTCAGAATACTATGTTCAATTAATTAATTTACATCTTCACACATTCTGAGTGGCTACCTAAAAAGTCAGTTGGTGTGATTCTTTTCTATATGTATTTTATAAAAAGGATGTGGTACCCCACCTACCAACCCACCTCATCAAATTTGATTTATTCCTGCAAATGTAAGTAACAAAACCTAAAATGTTGAGTTGACTAGCGTTGCATTGTTGTTGCATCTTTGCATTGACTTGAATTTCTAAATGTATCCAATAAGACAAAAACAGGCAAGAAAATATGATTAAATTAGCCATAAATATTTTAAAATTGAATTTGGAATTGGCTAGGATTTGTCTAACTGTTCCACGTAATGGAACTCATATAATATTTTGAAAATGTGGAAAAAAACAAAACAATGCCTGTCGGTAGATAATCTGGTGGATCAGACCA